GGGGGTCCAGGGTGTGGAACCACAGGAGGGGGAGGGGTTCCAGAGTGTGGAGCCACAGGAGGGGGAGGGGGAGGGGGTCTAGGGTGTGGAACCGCAGGAGGGAGAGGGGGTCTAGGGTGTGAAACCGCAGGAGGGAGAGGGGGTCCAGGGTGTGGAACCGCAGGAGGGGGAGGGGGTCCAGGGTGTGGAACTGCAGGAAGGGGAGGGGGTCCAAGGTGTGGAACGCAGGAGGGGGAGGGGATCGAGGGTCGGAACGCAGGAGGGGTAGGGGGTTGAGGGTCTGGAATGCAGGAGCGGGGGCGTTGAGGGTCTGGAATGCAGGGGGAGGGGGTCCATGTTCTGGAATGCAGGAGGGGGAGGGGGTCCAGGGTGTGGAATGCGGGAGGGGAAGGGGGTCCAGGTTTAGAACCACAGGAGTGGAGGGGCCAAGGGGTTCAGGGACTGGAGCCGAGGGTATCTGTGCCCCCTGGACGGGCTCTGTAATCCCTGTCCCGGTTTGCTTAGTAATGGACTGAGAGGCAGTGCACAAAGAACAGGGTTAGATGTAAGAGAAATCAGATTGTTGCCACTTTTCTTTGTTTTTATGGAGTAATTTCTATCAGCATAAGTATGTCATGAGTTCTCTCATCTTAAAAGAGAACCTGGTTCTCACCCGTCTCTCCAGCTGCCTGGTCCGTTTCTTTGCTCCCCTAGTCTCCGAGTCTGCTCCACCAGTTTTTGTTAAATTTACTCCAATCAACATTTCGCCCCCAACCTTCCACCAAGACTGTTCTTGCCAGGGCCCCAGCTGTCTGTTGTCCTGAGACTCGCGCTGCGTTCCTGGCTTTCATGCTATCTGCCCGCAAGCCGACCATATGTGCAGGGCTGCAGCAGGGACACATGGGAGGGAGGGGACCCTAAGCAGCCACAGGCCCCATGCGGTGGTCGCCCAGCCGGGACACCTGGGGTCTCCCCTCCTTGCCCCCACTCCACCCCTGGGGGCCTCACCCCCCAAATGCCCATGACTCCCAAACCTACAGGCTGCTGGGACCGAGCTCCGATCCCTGGCTCACACGTGGCCCTGGCCTCCCCGCTGCTCCTTCCCTTCTCGGGTGACCGCTCCCCACAAACCTTGGGGCCATCTGCACTGCTGCCTCCTAGTGGGGACACCATGCCCTGCCCGGAGACTGCAGCCCCTCCCACAACGCAACTTTGCCCCATTTCACTGGGCAAAGGGGGGCCTTGAAGGCTGCGGCCGGGGTACCCGCCACTCCCCCCATGACTGGGCCCCTCACCTCCCTTCTCTCTCATTCTTCCCTTTCCAAACTCCACACCCCTGTGCACAACCTACTTCATTTCCTGAGAATGTAAGTAGCAGGACTTTATTTTGTTCACTGTTGGGTCCAAGTGTGTCCAGAACCCGGACATTTCTCGCGGACAGCGACGGGGTGACCAGCCCAGGGTGCCTGTCTCTGACTTCCTCTCTGCTGTGCGCAGGTCAGAGATGGCACCCTGGGCAAGGCCAGGCGACGGTGCTGAGTGAGCCCCACAAGGAACGGCCAGCGTCCTAGGGATCTGGGTGGCGAGACCTGGCCCTCAGGCCAGGCGAGAGCTCCCAGGGTCACCGGCTGAGTGGCCACCACGCTGCTGGACACCGGTTGACTGCTGCCCACCCAATCCCAGCACCGTTCCACGTTCCCTCGACTGAGGTTTTCGGAAGACCACTGAGGCGCTTCCCACGTACGTGCGGGGGATGCACGCAGACAAAGCCCGCCATGGTGCGATGCCGGGTTTCCACCATAACTACCAGTCAGCGCCGGGGCTGAACTCGGGCCATTTGCATTAACGATGAGGACGACCGACGCAGCACATGGTACATTATTTTCAAAGATGAAATTGAAGCTGGGTTTAAAAACTGTGACTTATCGTGAAGCAGCCGGTGTGCGAGTTCTGCCGTGGGAAAGCCCACGCCAGCCAGGCTGTTGTACTACCCTTCCACCTGGAGGCCGCGCCGGCCCGGCAGCCCCAGCCTGCCCAGTGAGGGGCTCCGGCCTGCCTTCTGGAAGGGGCCTCGCCCATCTCCTGACCCCAGGGGTCAGCACAAAGATCTGCGCAGGGGAGGCGGTGGGGGCACCCCAGGCCCCCACAGGAGAGCCGAGCCATGACCCCCCCTTGTGTGCCACGTTCTCCCCTGGCACTGGGCCGGGCACGGCTCCAGCCCCGCGATTTTGGTGAGCGCCCGTTGTGCGGGAATGCAGCGGCCCCATGCAGGGAGACTGCCCGTTCCTTTACTTTATAGCTCCACAGGAACAGTTCCCTCTTTCGGAGCCGCCGGCCTCAACGGCAATGCTCATGGTCAGGACTGACAGCCCATCGAGGAGGTGGCGGCGGGAGCTCAGGGCGAGGCCGCGGGTGCCGGCCTCATGCTTGCCTGGCCATGCCGCCTGCCCACGGCCACACACCCAGCACCCAGTTCCTCTTCTTCTGTGGGTCGCTCGTGCTCTTGGGGGCCCACAGCTGCCTTCTCAGATCATGGGCACGTGGGGTCAGGCGGGCCCAGATCTGGCTCTCCGGCACTCGCGCTTGCGCCCTCCTCCGGCCAGAAGGGAGACGTGAGTAAACCACAGCTGACCAGCCGCTGCACCTCCTTGTCTCCGGAAATGGAGCCCAGGGCTCCAGGCCTCGGATACGCAAAGCGGCCTCTCAGCCGGCACCGCGGAGCGACAGACCCAACCACACTTCCTTCCCTCTGCCTGTGCGTGAGCCACGCACGTGCTCTCGGAGACCAGGGTCCCACACAGCACTCGTTCGACTGGGGATAGAAGAGAAGCCGCAAGTTTGCTGTCCCAAACAAGGGGGAGCACGGGGGGCCTCCGAGTCAGGCAGCTGGCCCTGTGATTGACTTCGTTCCTCCGCACATGCAGTCTATGAGTCCGCACACATTTACCACGTGCCTGAGACCTAGGGCAGACGTGGACCAAAACCTCGCGGTCAGCACGACCATTTCACAAAAGATCCGGGAAGCCTGGCGGGTGAGGGGCCCTGAGGATGGAGGGCCTGCTTCTTTCTCTAGGCGGGTGTGATGGAGGGCCTCCCTGAGGAGGTGGCCTGAAGCATGAAAAGGAGCCATCTGAAGTGGTCCACCGAGGGGCAGCAAGCACAAAGGCCCTGAGGCCAGAAGATCTGCCGACTAGTGAGGGTGGGGACCCCCCGGGCGAGGAGACGTACAAGCCTGGAAGGCCCGAGAGTGTGTTGGGGGTCCCGCTGCCCCCTCCCAGCATCATGCCTCCTGTGGCCTGGAGCAAGGACTCACCTTCGACATCAGACCTGGGTCACTGGCTGTTGACATTTCCAGATATAACAGGATTCTTGGCCTTTTAAAACATCTAGGAGCGCCCGGAAACACAGGCCCCTGTGACCCCCAGCTCTGCACCGAGCCAGCTCTGCAGCCAGGCCACCTTGGCCCGCTCCGGCCACCATCTCCCGGACTCAGGATGGCCCCCACCCAGAAGACCAGGGACTGCACGGGCGTCCGTGGTCAGCAGCCCACCCCAGCCGCCCCCATTTTCTCTCCAAATCCCTTGACCTTGTCCTTCCCTAAAACCACTGCGAGTTCAGTCATTTCACACTCAAGGGGCTGCCCTGTCCCTCGTGCCCGCCGCGGTGCCCATGCGGGGCCGGAGTTACCGTCCTGCGCTCCCCCCATGTCTTCGAATCCCGGCGTCCTGGCGTCCCCTCCCCAAGGACCCTCCCCAGCGCCTCTCCAGGGGGAGCCCGCATCTTCCGGCCACCTCACAGCCGTGAGCTTGCACTCCTGCCCGGTTGCCTCGGGGGCTGAGAAGGCCTGAGACCGCCATCCTGTCTCTGATCCTGGGGCCCAGACAATGAACAGAGATGCTCTGAGGTATCACAGCCCCACCAGGAAGCCCCTCAAGGGCGCACGGCCGGCCCAGGGGCCCTAAGGAAGCTGCTGGGTTCCCAGGCCACCCGCCCAGAGCCCGGTGCTCGGAAAGAAAGGACGGCAGACCCCGCGTGACCCAGGCCGTGGCCCCACCTTTCTCCTGCGAGGAGACTACTCAGCACCCACGTCCCTGAGGAGGGCTCCCTCCCACCAGGTTGCTAGAAGAATCTAGGACCCCCCCAGCACTGATCGGTGATGGGCTGTCACTGGTTGGCAGTTTTCATACAACAGGAACCAGCCGATCGAATTTGCTCTTTTGGTCTGTTTTCTGGATTAGACTAATTCACGAAGCTTAATTTACAGAAATTCAGAAACCTGTCCTTACGGATGCTGAGGAATGAGGGTGGCATCTCTGGGGACCCGGGGGACTGAGCCCCTATGCTGCAGCTGACCTCCTCCTTGCCCTGATGTCACCGGAGGAACGAGGTCACCCGCAAGGCTCAATGGCCATGGTGTTCGCTCATCAGGGGGTGAGGTCCACATCCTCACCACTTCTTGTGGTGGAGTGGGCACCCCAGGTGGTGTGGCGTCAGCCCCAGTGTGGCTGGGGAGCTATGGAAGAAGTTTCCCTGCCTTTCTGGAAGAGGGGCTCTCGCTCTGCTCATGATGAAACAACCACAGCTGGGGGAGTCGCCTCTGGGGTCAGTTCTACCCCCGCGAGGGCGTGAGCGGGGCGTCGGGTCAGGCCGAGCCCCAGAGGGTCTCAGCCACTCTGCGCCGTGGCCTCCTTCCCGTGGCACAAAAGCCCCTGCCACTCACGGTGGCCCAGTCTGTCTAACGGATCGAGGGAAGGTCCCAGGCTCCATCGGACCCCAGGCGCTGGGGCTGGAGCTGACACTTCCCAAGGGCAGGGGCAGGACACGGGCTCTGGACCCTGCTGGCTCTGCGGGGCCATGAGCCCCTCAGCACCACCTCCTCCTCTGACAGCCCGCGGCTCAGCGACACGCACCTGGGGATGCTGGTGAGGTAGGTCATGACATTCTGGAACTCCTTGTCGGGGACGTCGCCGAAGGCCGGGTAGTCCGGGAAGGTGATGACGGGGCTGCCGTCCTGCCCGCGCCCACCTGGGGAGAGAGAGAGGCAGCGCTTAGCGCGGGCGCCTTCCCCAAGCACCAGTGTCCGCTTAGAATTGATGGCGTTTCGTCAAGGCTCTGCTTGCTTCTTAGGAGAGACGTGTGTGCTTTCCAAGGAGCCCCTTGGTGTGGACAAGAGTGACACGCATTCCGACCATCCCCCAGTATGCTGCCGCCAGAATTCGCGGCCCGTTCCCTCCGGAATGGTCCCTGTGCCTCTTTCCACACGATTGCACCGCCGCTTGTCCTGCTTGCTCGTTAACGCCGAGAAGTAGGGCTCTCTGCGCCGGGAGCTGCTTTAAACCCTCACAGAGCTCAGCCTCCTACCCTACAGCCAACCTCCTAGCCTCAGACAGCGGGGATCTGAAGGGGGCCATCCCTGTGGCAGCGTGAGGGGGGAGGGCCCCAGGCGGGCGGGAGGAGCTGAGAGACTTTGCTGGTCGGGTGCGTGGTTCGGGACCTGGGAAGAGGCGCTTGGAGAGGAGGCTGAGTTTGGTCTGGGGCTCACGTGGTCTGAACTGTCCCGCAAACAATCCGGGCAGGGGCTGAGAGCACGCAGAAGTCGCTGGGGCCCAGGCTCCAGGTCGGCCTGCTCGCCGGTGCCGGGGTGGCTGGAGACAGCCCCCCTGAGGGACGGGCCCATCTCTCCTGCCCCGGCCCCCCGTCCTGGCCCTGTCGGATACAGCCTAAGTCATGAGGTGTAGCTCTCCGGGCTGGGCCGCAAGACATGCAGTGTCCACCCTCCCTGCTCTGAGCTCCCTCCTGGGGAGGATGCCCGCACTGCCAGGGAGGGAGCGGCCGGCGTCACGCAGGGGCCCTGAAATGCCTCGTGTGTGAGAGAAGCCCCCTGACGTTCCAGCCGGCCAGCGCCACCCGGGGAGAGAGAACCACGCAGCCGGCCCTTCCAGAATTCCCGCCCAGGGAATTAACAACAAACCAGTAAAAGGGCTTGTTTCGAGCCAAGTTTTAGGGCAGGCTGGGCAGCGAGCATGGGCTCCCCACATCCTGGATCTCACTGAAGCACACACACGCAGCCCCCCGCCACAGCTCGGGCCACTGGGCACCTCCTGGCATTTCTCAGGCGTGTCCTGAGTTATCCTGCCAAATTACAATGACGTCCAAAAACAGCAGGTGTGATGGCCGTTGACGGAATGATCCTGAAAACCTGACTGTGTCTGGGAGACCCAGGGAGGGGGGCAGATCCTCCTGACGAGTGCAGGGCACACCGCACAGGCGCTGGTGGGGATGGGGTCGGGCGCACCCTGAGCCACGCCGACATTCACCATGGAAGGCGCTGGGTGCGGCATGACGTGGGACGGGCCCCCATCAGTGTCACTCAGCCAGATCCCCGGACTCACGCTCCTTCGTGTGGGAGGAGCCCGGGCCCTGTGAGGCCCAGCCCGCTAGGTCAGGCCCACGGGGATGATCTCATAGCCCCCGAGGGGGTCCTTCATCACGTCTGCACAGTCCCCTCCCAAGCTGCTGGCTGGCGTTTGGATACTAGAGAAAAGGTGTGTCTCGGGGAGGGGGGGGCCTCGGGGCTGGCCTGCAGCCCTGCTTGCTCCCCAGGTAATGCCAAGAGCGGTGGGATTATGACCTGCAGGAAGGTCAAGGTCATGAGTCCTGGTCACCGGTGCACTAGAGCCATGAGCCTTTGGGGTCCTGAAGGGGCAAGAACAGGTTGGGGAGATGGGGGGAGCCAGCAGAGGGCCTGTAGCCTCCTGGCTAAGCATCTCGCTGCCGGGCACCATGACCCCCGTGCTGTCGAGGGGTTCTCACTCCTCTGAAGGACACCCTGCTCCTCCCTGCTGGGAGCAGTGCTTCTCCCAGTGACCAAGGCCCCACATGAAGCAAACCTGCCTTACTGCTAACTCGTCCCCACAGAGACCCCCGTCCTGCTGACAACCTTCGGATCCTGCGGGGACCCCTGAACTCCGGGGCCACACATCAGGGACCACACGTCAGGGCCACGTGCCAGGGCCACACGTCAGGGCCACACGTCAGGGACGACATGTCAGGGCCACACATCAGAGCCACATATCAGGGACCACATATCAGGGCCCAGCTGGAGGAGTGGCTTCCAGCCCAGGGGATGGGCAGGTGAGCCAGGGAAGGGCCAGGGCAGCCCTGCGGGTGCGGGGCTGGTCTGGGGGCTCATGAGGAGAGAGGACCGTCTGCGTGTAGGGCTGTGCGCCGGAGAAGGGGAGGCCCCGATTGACAGCACAAGGACCCCATGGCAGGTTGTCTTGTCCATTGGGGGTCCCCCATGCAGCCGTGAGGGCGGCTGCACAGGTGCAATCATACCCTTAGCACCCACAATGCACGAGCTCTGTCCAGCGGCTGAGGTCGCGCACCACGGCCAGCCAGCCAGGACAGCAGGTCGTCCCACAGGGTGGAGGCAAACTGGGACCTGAGGGGAGTGTGGCAGCCACGCAGGGTCTGGGGATACAGGGGGACCCCAGGATAGGTGCTGGGGCAGAGTCGGCCGCTTGTCCACGTCAGCTGTGCTCTGGGACCTTCTCCGCAGAAGCTAGGTGTGCTTGGCTGGGGAGGCCCCCGGCCCCTGGACGCTGCAAGAAGGAGGTCAGCTGTGCCCTATTTCTACATCACCTGCCCCAGGAGCGTTCTGGAGTCTGCAGGCAGGAGCACTCGGGCTGCGTCGCTCTCAGGACCCTGAGCTGCCCTCCCTCAGGCGCTGCACAACATCTCCCGACCTTCAGGGAAATCCAAAGCAAGCCATGTCCTAGGCCTTGTCCCTGGTTCCCAGCGCCTGGACCAGGCCCACGTAGTCACAGGAAACCAAGGGGTGTGCAGACCCTCCCTCCTGCCCACCCGGCGCTCACCAGACAGATATGCAAAGCGCTTCTTCAGCTGGTCCTGGATGTCCGCGGCGCAGAGTGGGGTGATGTCCCGGTGCATGATTTCATCTGCAGGGAGAGCAGACAGACACCACTGTCATTCGGTGGAAACCGCCTTACGCAGCCGCGCACATCCACGAACACCGAAGGGGACCAGCGGTCATGTGCTTGGAAAAAGGGATTCCAGTTTCCAATGCGCAGAAACCTTTGTTTCTCAGTGCGCAGGAGGCTGTGTGCCGGGTGGTTCATCAATATTTAAGATGTGGTGCGTGTCAGAGGCACAGTGAGGAGGCGGGCGGGTGGGAGGAGCGGCGGACCTGCGGGCAGAAGCGCACAGGGACTTGAGCGTGGGGGCGAGGGCAAGCCGCCAGCGAGCAGCACGGGGGGGCGCACGGCCTCCGCCCCGCCCTGGAAGTGGTCTGGGTGCCCTCGGGGCCGGGGCAGCCCGAGCAGACACCTGCAGGTCGGCGAGGAGACCTGGCCGCTGCTGCAGGTCCACACCCTCCACACACGCACGGCAGACGGGCAGAGCTCTGCCCCATGCACGGGCCCCCTGCCTGCCCAATGCAGACACAGAGGAAGGGACGCCCAGCCGGGTCCCCGAGTCAGACACCGGCGGGAAAGGGGACTCAGCCTGCAGGTGGCAAGTCCTAGATCAGGGGCCTGGGGTGGGGCTGTCGCGTGTCTCTGCAGAGCGCGTGGAGCTGGGGCGCCCGCCCTCGCTCCGGTGTGTGCCTGCCCCGCTAGCGATCACGTGACCCCAGCTGAATGGCAGAATTTGCCTTCTGGGACATTAACACCATTTCTCCAAGGAGACTCAGGACCCGTGCTGATGCTTCACAGATCCTGCCACACCCAGTTTAAGACCCGGGCCATGAACAGCTTGGGGATCCGGGTCCGAGCTCTTCCACCCGGAAAATCCCTATGGTGGCCACAAGACACTCCCTGCACGGACCAGCCTGGAAGCCTGCTCTTCTGGTCTTGCAAACAAGCCAGGGTAAACGGCGACACACTGGGCACATGGCGGGTCCCCCGTGGAGCCGCCACCCACCCCAAGCCCGCCTGGCCCCACAGGGCGGCGGTGGCGGAGGCTGGGGTCAGGAGGTGACAGCCATCAGTGCTCATCACACTCAGAACGCGGGACCTGACAGGGAGGGCACCGCCCATGGGCAGTGAGGCATCTCCGCAGCAGCTCTCCTCTGTGGTAGGAAAACAGGGCTGAGAACAACTGATCTGAGAGTGTGGAGCGTGTTTCTAAATTCCAGACGATGTCCACACACACTCGTTTGCAGCTCGCAGCCTGGATGGGGGGCAGGGGGCGACGTTCAGATTTTCCTCCCCTCGGAAGGAGGGAGTAAGTGCACGGTTCATACCGCACCTGTGCCCCGGATCCTTACATTCAGCCTCCGTAAGCCCGGAGACGCAGGCCATGGAGCACAGACCATGGGGGGGGAGCGGGGGCAAGGCCTCTGGAAGTCTGGAGACGTGCCAGGGGCCGGTGAAAGTTGCAGACACTGAGCGGGCAAGTCCTTTAGCGGGCACCCAGTGTCAGTGACGAGCGTTCCCCAGACCTCACCATCACTGGCACCTCAAGACTCCCACCAGACTCCACCAGCCCACAAGGAAAGACGACTATGGGTGTCCAGGCCTCTGACGGTGGATACTGCACGGTCATCCTCAGGCTGCGTCCGCCTGGCAGAGCCTTCTGGGCAACACCTCCTCCCCAAGCTCCCAGAGTCCTGAGCTCAGTCCTGCATGAGCAGTCTGCTCTGTGCCCAGCTCACCTGACAGCACAGGGCTTTCCCATGTGCTAGGGACAGGCCTACTATTAACCAACCATTCCTGTGCTGTCTGACAGAGGGATGGTCCCACTGGCCAGATCGCTGTCAACATGAATTTGGTTCCTTGGGAGAGACATCTCTGGGCCTTGTCAACCACCCTCCTCCACAGGTGCTGGCCACACTCGTGTTCCCAGAGCTCCTCCAATGGGTGGACCAGGTCCCTCAGGCCTCAGGGCCTTTGCATGAGCTGCTCCCTATAACGTGTCTCCCATGTCTGCCGGCCGGTCCAATCTTACTCCATTCTTGGCCAAGAGGTCATGTCTTCAGGGAGGCCTTTCTCCACCTCCTGGCCTGAGCTGGGCCTCGCAGTGCCCTGCACGCCTGCCGGAGCGTCTGCAGGCCACTACACAAGCCCAGGGCCCGGCCCAGCACCCGCTGCGATAGGAGCTCAAAGAACTTGTGCTGAACAGAGAAAGCGAGGGGCGCATGACACGGTGACTTCCCACAGCAGCATCTGGAATCCAGCTAGTTCGGCAAAGTTCTTCCTGACATGCACACAGGCTGGTGCAGGATTTCTGGAGCCCGTGGACTTCTGACTGTGGGGGCATGTCAGCTTGCAGCCTCGCTGTGGATCCCACACTCGCAAGGTTTCTGGGGCAGAACGCATTCTAATACTGTCTTAGGTCAAAGGCCCCTTTTTAGGTGTGAACAATAGTGTCACTCTGTGCACAGCCCGAGCTGGAAACAGCACACAGGTGGGTCCACAGGCATGGACTCCATCTAGAGGTCCTTCCGGCTTATGTGGTCACTGCCCACTTCTCATAAAGCTGGAAATAAGTAAGGACCATGGCACGAGGAGCTTGTCGCTGTCACCTGCTTGCTTTTGCCCCCTGGGATCTGGACCTGTGGGTGCAGTGGGCAGTTCTTCCATGTGGGCCAGGCCCGCACTGTGCGGCAGAGGACACGGTGACCGCTGGCTCAGCAGGAAATGGAGGAACCCTCGGGGGAACGGGCAGGCCTCCCCGGTGCTCCAGGGTCAGAAATCTGGACAGGAAGGGGGTCGCCCCACCCGCGGGCCCAATAAAAGGGTCAGGCAAGGCCCCGCGCCTTCACAGAACGGCTCTGTGTGAGCACAATGCCGCACAGATAACTCCCTGTTTCCAGCATTCCTGTCTTAGCCAGATGCGAAAGGAGACCCCCGGGCAAGGAGCAAGAATCACGTCCGGGAGGTCAACGAGGGTCTGGTCGCAGAGAGGGCAGCGCTTCCCATCGGGGCCCCGCAGGGGCAGGGCTGGGGGCCCAGCGCAGGGCAGGAGACACATGGCCCACTCACCCCTTCGGCGGGAACCACCCCTCACCTCACAGTTTAGCCGCCCTGGGACCCGGCTCAGCTCCAGACTAGTCTTCCACCATCTGGGAGCACTTTGGGACCACAGTGGCCCCCGGGTGCAGATGAAGACATGCAGCCCTGAGGCCCACACCGCTCCTCAGAGCTCCAGGCTCTGCATCTCCCAAGGCTGCACACCCTTGCCTGGCGGGTCTGTGGCTCAGGCCTGCGTGGGAACCACCTGGAGGCCTCGGTAAGGTGCGCACAGAATGGGTGCCCTGCATCTCCTACACTGCCTGCCCCACGCTGGCTGCAGTCCCTGCATGGACTGCAGTCCCAGCATGAGCTGTGCCTCCAGGTGACGCGGTGCTGAGGTCACACCTGTGTCCAGTCGGACAGACGGCAAGTCCGAGGCTGCGCTGTCCATGGCGCACTCAGGGACGCCAGGAGGGTGTGTATCCGCCATCAAGCAGACATTTGCCCATTCATCAACACCCGTCTTATGAAGGGTGTCAGCCAGGTGGGCCGCGGGATGCACTGTGCACACGCACAGCAGGCCAGGACCCGCAGGGCGTCCCCACTCACACCTATACCTGGGCTTGCGGATACTCACAGCACACACTCCATGGGCTCTGAGTGAGACACAGCTTGGTACAAAGTAGCTTTTGGAACACTGTCCCATAGGAAGGTAGCGGTGTCAGCCCGGCCCCAGGGGCTGCCTGAAGCCAGGCTTTGGCGGAAGCCCGGTTTAGAAGCCCCACACCTCTGTCTTTGCCACAGGCAGACAACCAAGCCCCGGTGACCCTCAGAGTCCTCCTCAACACAGGCTCCAGGCCACTTGGGCAAGCACGTGGAGAGGGCACAGGGGCCCAGGCCAGTGCGGGGCCCCCGAGTGTAGGCAGTGCCCACGACCTGCCTCCCAGCCAGCCCCGAGCGTTTCTCCGGCCCGGCTCCCGCGGTGGGGCCACGGGGGTCGGAGCCCCCTAAGGTCTCTGTGTGCAGGCTCCACAGTTGAGTGGACCCCGGGTTCCGGGGGCCGGCGGGGCGGCCAGGAGCTGCTCCAGTAACTGGCGGGGATGTGCCCAGCTCGTCCTCGCTAAAACGAAGACACAACTTCCAGGGAAGTCCGACACGAGGCCCAGCTGGGCCAATGGCGCAGAGAAGAAAAAACCTCCCCCAAACCCGCCCAGGCCTCAAATCAGTCAAGAAGGCAAGCGTCTCTTGAACGTCTATGGCCGGTCGGCGCAGCGGAAGTACCAGAGAAGTGTAGGAATCTGCTAAACTCAGGCTGGTGAGAGCAGCTGTGGGACTCTTCAGTCGATGCACGAGAAAACCCATCGTAGAGACGCCCGTGGTGGTGTCACTGTTACCAGGGACTCTTCACGTATCCGTGCATCTGTCATAACCACTCGGCAGGCGGGAGCATTATATTCCGTCTGCTGGACAAGCAGCCTAAGGCACAGAGATGTCCAGAGACTTGCCAGAGACCACACAGCAGGGACCGAGGAGATTCTAGGAGCAGCACCTCAAAGGGAGGGACAAGATACTGTCCATCTGAGGCTTGTCATGCGGGTGACTTTCAGGGACGGGTTAGTAAGTGCAGATGCTCCTTGGGGCTTGAAGGGCTCGACGGAGCAGAAGCAGGAGAAGTCGGACCTCTTGGTGAGCTTGGGCCACGGCGACAGCGGACAGCAGGGTCCTGACCATCACGTGCTTCGGTGGGTCCCTGACCCTCGTGTCGGTGGTCAAAGAAATGACATTCAGCCGATCGCAGAGGCATTGAAAATCACCCCATAGTTCTGTATTTGTTTTTCTTTGTTAGAGTCTGAGTAGCGTTCTGACTCGAGGTCGTAAATGCTGTCCCTGCTGCAGGTGGAGGAGACCGCGGGGTGGGTGGGGATCGGGCTCCTAAGCCCACAGTCAGGCCGCGGCCCTGGAGGCCCGGCTCAGGCAGCAGCCGC